CCATACAGGCCCTCCATACAGTTTCGCAACCCCGATATGGCCCTCGGGCCAAAAAGTTTGCCCACCCCTGCTATAAGTGATAGCAAATGGATCAAAGCAGATTACCTAGCAAATAAAAAACACAAACTGAGCTTAACACACTAGATAGGTAGGATATGAATTAGCAAATTCTCACCCTGAGTGATAAACAGGCTGGCAGATTCTGAAGGCACAAGATGCCTTTGCTTTGCAGCTTGGGTTTCCCAGGTTTTCATACACAGGCTAAAAATCCCTTTAGCCCGGGGCCATCACTTCCCCCAGTTCAGTCTTTGTTCCTCAGGTGTTTACAGGTCTGTTGTTGTAGGGAGAGTGAGGTACCATCATGATGTCATTTTCCCCCTTTTATATCTTCTTCCCACTTGCTGGAAAGCTCTTTTGCTGTGAGCTGGGTCAGACAGTTCCCATTGTGCAGTGCTCTCTCTGAGAGGTTTCTATTGTACACAGTTCCTGGGGTAATCCTGGTGCTTGTTTGCATTTCCTCAATAAGCCATTAACATTGTTTGGCCTTTTTACTATTGTACCTGAAAGGCTGCTTATGGGTGTTTTCAACCTCACGACATGTTTCAGTAACACCTACTTAGCCGAACTTCATAACTTCACACACGACGATAGCACATACAATCCAACGAGATATTACTGTCTAGCAGATCAAGACTTTTAGAATGATACCTCACAAGACATACTTTGTTCAAAACATATCCTCATTACATGACAGTGGTGAATAATGGGGTGCTATGTGCTATGAAAAGTCAGGCATTTTGCTATTATTTGAAGTATTTCTCTCCATCTATCCCAGGGAAAAAGGTTGATATCAGAGACCTGGACTCTCTTCTGGCTGAAATGGGGATGCACTTAACACAGGAGGAGCTCCAAGAAGTGCTGAAGCATGTCGTGGTGGATGGTGAGCAGCATGGTACAGCGCTGTATTCTCTGTAGACCTAAACAACCATAGACATAAACAATCTGTGAGCTCAAAGATTGGGGGGAGCGGGGGAAAATGTGTTCAAATCAGAAGAAGCTGAAATTTTAAAGTTTCCCACAAAATGAAAATTCAGAAAAGGTTCAGTTGGGGACCATTGAAACATTTCATCTCAATGTTTTCATTTTGGTTCATTTCATTTTTACTGCTGTATGAGATTAACATCATAGCTATAATATAGAAAACTGTAAAATAATATTTAAAATCATACTTTATTATCCTAGAAGTCAAACAAAATGTTTCAGCGTTGTCCAAACACGACAACTTTTTCCCGTCAAAACTTCTGTTGAAATTGACCCGTTCCCATGAAATGTTTTGATTTTGACAGAATGACATTTTTCAGTGGAAAACTGTTCGGAACAGACCGCTGTCTCTTTCTGCCTGCCTGGCACTTTCTCTTTGCAGGAGACGGGAAGGTAAATGTGAGTGACTTTACGAAGAATGTGATCAGCACACGGAGGGCTTCCAAAGCTGAGAGTAAGTCAAGACCTAGTGATAAAGTTGGATGAAATGTGGTAGACCTATGCCTGACTCTCATTTCTGTATCAGCAGGGGCGCTGCCTATGGAAGGGATCTCAGGAGGTCATCTAGTCCAACCCCCTGCTCAAAGCAGGACCAATCCCCAACTATTTTTTCCCCCAGATCCCTAAACGGCCCACCCCCCAAACGGCTATCCCTCCCCCCAAAATCATCTGGTCCTTCAGCTCAAGTAGTGGAGGCTTTATGCTTTTAAATTGAACATTTCAATTGTCACTAGTGACGATCTAGCCATCAAGAAAGGAGGTTTTTTTTCCATTTTTCTGGGTGCCCCGAATGTGAAACCTATCCCGGTGGCCAGCGCACGGTCTGAGCAACATGTACGTCCTACTTAAACTCTCCACATAGGACGTGAGTAGTGTCCAGGCCCTCTGCACCTGGAAGGATTTCACCCAAATTCTCTGCTGCTTTGAGGGGAAGCCCAGGGACAAAACAGCCAAGAGAGTTTATTTATTAGGCCCGTTGCTAATACATTTACTGAGCAACACAATGAGCAGATCCAGTCGCAGTCTGGCTACTCTGAAGTCAGAGGTGTGACTGCAGCACATGCAGACCTACCCAAGGATAGCTCTGATCTTTCTCGCCCCAATAACAATAGCAGTGAAGCCGTGGCAGTACGGGCTAGTCACTCGAGTACATACCCAGCATCCTGGCTGGGCTTGGACAGCCCATGGGGCTGTAGCTTTGCGGTTATTGTTATTCACGCTAGCTAGATCAGAGCTAGCGTGGGTCTGTCTACATGTGCTGCTTGCAGAGCGGACGTATCCTTCTGTCCAGTGTCAGGTCAATGTTCTCCAGCCATGTGAAACCTCGCTAGGATTTTAGCGTTTAATTCTTTGTCTCTCTCCCTCTAAGGGGACAGGGTTGCTACGAGTCACCTGGACTCCATTCTGGGCAACATGGGAATCTTTTTAACTGAAGAGGAGCTCCAGGAGGCGCTGAAGCACACAGAAATAGACGGTGAGCATTACAGATCTCTCTGGAGACACCTGTGCTTTCGTACTGATGCTCGTCCCAAGAGAGGGAGTTGGGTACATCCATATAAAGGGATCTACTTCCCCTTGCTAATGCAGACCAAGAACCTCTCTTTGCTCAGTGCACTCTCACCCCATTCCTGTGGCACCATCAGCCAGATTTCCCTTTACACATGCTAGGCACTCGTATCCTCTGCACTTGAGTGGTTCTCAAGCCTCTTGCATGCTCCTTCTCTCACAAGGGCACAGGGTAAATGGGCGGGGCGGAGGGCAGGAGTGGGCGTGTCTGAGAACACACGGGCTGGTGCATGATCCTCATCACTTAGCAACATGTTCCCCGTCAGGCTTCTCGCCACCTACTAGGCTGTAGTAAATAGAGCAGCTGCATAGCAGGATTTGTCTTTGGTGTGTTTAACCCACAGGACTCTGTGCCCATCTTCCAGGACGTCTTCTGGCGATGGAAATGCAGATCAATCCATTACAGCCACTTGTAGGGCTCAGAGGAGCCTTTTCCCTCCCCTGCCTCTCATTTCCTTTCCCCTCCCGCTCACCCCAGGGATGGAGGGGAAAGAGAGGAGAAAATTCTGTACCCCATGAAGTTCAAATATCTAATGCTAATTTCACTGGGCCCGACCATCCCTTGCATTTCACCATGTGTAGCCATTCACGCCCATGCAAATTGGGTGTGAAATGCTACCAAAATGACTTATAGCCACTTTGCAAAGGAGAATTGGGCTCAGTCGCTTTCATTATTTGCACAAATTTAGGCCAAAATTTTCCATTCGGCAGGAAAGTCCAGCATTTCAAAAACGTGGGTTTGTTCCAAACTGGAATGAAAAGTTGAAATTTGTTGCAGAATGGAAAATCCGAATGAATTCTATTCAGAAACATCGGAAGATTTTGTTTCTCTAATGACAAATCACTTGGTTTTGACAATGTGAAAATGTTTTGGTTTTGATATGGTAAAAATATCCATTTCGCTAATGTCAAAACATATATACTGTATTTTATTATGTTTAATATTATATATACAATTAAATGAATATTTACTATAATAAAAAGTCTAAACAAAATGAATTGAAATGATAAAGTCGAAGCAAATGGCTTTACCTTATTGCTATGAAATGTTTTGACATTATCGAAACAAAATGAGAGAGTCAGAACGATTCACTTAGACGGTTTCCAATGGAAAATGTCCTTGAAATTGACATGTTCCCGTGACCTGTTTTGATTTTGACAAAAGTGCATTTTCCATTGGGAAAACTTTTCCTTGCGAACGTGCCAACCAGCTCTCTTGGTCTGTCTTTCTCTCTGCCTGTTCTCCCCTGCAGCGGAGGGGAAGGTGAATTTGAGTGAATTCATGAAGAGTGTCCAGCGATTGTCCGAAGCCGAAGGTGAGTGACGACTGTCTAACGAAGATGGATGGCGGATGATGACCAGAAGGTGTCACGTGCTGTTCAGTTTTCGTTGCCTTTCTCTGGGTGTATGTAAGACAATTATACAGCATGCAGTCTCCTGTGTCTTTTCTCTGTACATAGCTGGAGACCGGGGTATAATTCGATTTGCTGAAGAGTTTTGAGTCACTGGACTGATTGATGGTGCAATGATTGACTGGGCTGCACTCTTAAGGGTATGTCTACACTGCAATCCAAAGAGTGGTTGCCGCCCCGGTAAACACACCCAAACTAGCGTGGCTTAAAAATAGCAATGTAGAGGCAACAGTCTAGGCTTCAGCCAAGGCCATACAAGCCCATCCAGGGTGCTGAAGCCCTTGGAGTTGTATCTACGCTGCTATTTTTAGCCATGAATGCAGGGAAAGCTAGCGCCGGTATGTCTACCCACACCACAGTCACCCCCCTAATTGCAGTGTAGACACACCCAAAGACAGGCCGGTCCTCATGTCTGAGCACAGGGTTAGGAAGAGAGGCTGGGGAATCATAGAATATCAGGACCTCAGGAGGTCATCTAGTCCAACCCCCTGCTCAAAGCAGGCCCAATCCCCTAAATCATCCCAGCCAGGGTGTCATTCTCCCATGGAGCTCAGCTTTTGTACTGCACGTGTCACCGTGGTATCTGCTTCACTGCAGTGGTGTTAAAGGGTTGCTGGAGGTGCTGACTTTCTGACCAGAACTAAAACGGAGGTCCTGCCAGAGCTGTGCAGTCCCTCCACCCCGATGATTTCAGTTTGTGAGCTCTGGGCATGTCAGGGCCAGTCGTACAGTCACTAACCACGGAGCAGGGAGCTCTGGTCCAGGGAAGCTTTGTAGGAGCATCAGATGAGATTTTCAAAGCAGCCTAAGGGACTTAGAGGCACAGCTCCCATTGCAGTGAATGGCAGCACTGAAAACCTCAGCCATCACCTCTATGGGCACACCTCGGGGCCAAAACCTGCAAGGGACAGGACGAGGCCTCAGCTGGAGGAGGACCAGAGCAGTCCGAGTCAGGAATGCTGAGCGCCCGCCACTCCAGTTGACATCATTGGTGGGACCCTTTGGGCTTGATTCCTGTTTACACCTGGTTTTACACCACTCTGGTAGGGCAGAAGGGCCTTGAAATGAGTGTAAATGAAATGAACACCCACCTGGATGCCCTTTTACACCACCAGCAAGGTGGAAAGTGGCCTTAGGTCTCGTCTACACACACTTCATGCACTGAGTTAACCAGTTTGGAAACTGATTAAATTAAATCAGTGCAGCCCCCCTTGTGTGGACCCTCTGAAATCCATCTGGGAGCCTTACGCTGGTTTAGCGTAAGTGGGTATTTTTTTACTGACTCGTGCCCTTTTTCCGTATAGCTCTCTTAATCCGAAATAAGAGCGTCCACACACAGGAGTTGCATCAGTTTCGAAGCTGACTTTGCTACATCCGTGCACAGACTGTGTGTACGCCAGCCCTTGGATCTGTTATGTTTTGCACATCTCTAGTCCTGACTTTACACGGCCATAAAAAAAATCTCATGCCAGAATAGGAGCATTCAGTGACCTGGCTAACTCTATGCTGGATAAAGGCCTTCCGAGCCCCTGGAATTCCCCCTAGTGTCAAATGGATAATGCTTCCAGCATTTACTGTCCTGAACCGGTGCACAGAATGACGTCTTCCTTAGAGACATGACACCATGTTATGCATTCTTTCCCCCCTCCTCTATCCAAAGGGGAAAAGGTTGATGTCGATAACCTGGACTCCATTCTAGCCAACATGGGGATCCATTTGACTGATGAGGAGTTTCAGAAGGCGCTGGGGGGTGTTACTCGTGGTGGTGAGTAATGCGGCATGTCCCTCTGGGTTCTTCAGTGGAGCCTAAGGTGGGAGGGAAGGGGTGTGCACACGCAGATTGTCAGTGACCGGGCTTAGTGCTTGGGGCAGGAGTCAGGTAAGTCGTCAGGAATCGGAGCCCAGGGTCAGAGCCGGAATCAGAAGTCAGGAATCGGCGCCGAGGGGCAGGACCGGGTCACCTGGATGATGTATCCCAGCAGATTAGGAGCTGCTGCAATAAATCACACAGACGCAGTGTTTCGTTTGAAAGTCAAGATTCCCCGGACGGCTGGTTTAACAGCGTAGCTTGCAGAACGCAGCCTGCAGTGTAGCTGACTGCACTCTCTAGACCCAACCAACACTGGAGTGGACTGAT